CGCGTAGAGCCTCCTCTCTCTCTCTCTCTCTCTCTCTCTCTCCGATCTACCGACTTGCGACACGCGGCGCCAACCCTCCGTATAAATGGTGAGCTCATCACGCCGACGCTTGTAGACGCACCTTGGAACACACGTTAACTCCCCCTGAAACTGGCGCCCACGCATGCCGAACCGAAACACTCCAAATACCTGGGGTTCCCACTCTCTCACGGAGTACCAGGAATCAACCTCGCTAGACATATGGAATTCCTGGTTGCAGCATTGTCACTGGGTATCGCCTCTTTCCGCGCTTATGGCTTCCATGGCTTCAGCTGGCGACACCCCCGCAATCGACTGATGATGTTCAAAACATTTATCCTATCCACGGCTACATATGGGCTGAACATTATTGCCTGAGCTCCGCCTATACGGAAAGATGCGTTGGACCCCTTATTCGAGCGCTTTAACTCAGCACTCATCCAAGCAGCAGCCATCATCACGGGCACGATATACCCTCGGCTTCCCAAACATCAAACAAACTTACTTCACTTTTGCGGCCTACTCCCCGCGCGACCATTCGTGGACTACCTCGGAGATTGCCTGGAAATACAACTCGACTCAATGGACAGCACAAATCCACTTACCTCTCTGACGCAACCCGCCTGGGCCCACGATAAACCATCACTGCGCTTACCGTACAGTATCTATGCTCACCTGAAAACTGTACACAAAGCCACGGGCGGGCGTACACCCGACCATGTAGGCCTCCGCCAACGCTGTGACGACATCAGGAAGAACTCAACAAAACGTTGGTCCAACAAGGAGATCGCTGCAATGGCCCGGCGCCAATACTACTACCAACTGGTTATGGGCAAACCGCCAACCTCAAACCGAGACAGAGCCAGACACGACAGCTTCGATCGCTGCTTCGAGTCTACACCAATCCGGCTCTGTGCTATGATTGTAACGAATGTGTACATGTTCACATTGCTCGACTACCGCACCGACGGCTGTCGCTACCCTGTATGCCCCGGTAGCCACAGGTTCACTACCAGCCACTATACCTGCATCCAACAACTGATTCGACGCATCCTGGTAGGCCCGAAACTGCCGCCCATTGGCCATGACCTCCTTCAGCAATTGCAGGAGTGCCACGACTTCCACGGTATCTGGACCCTCCACGAACACCTTGGATCTTTCCTCCAGCATGTTGAAGAACCACCGTACCCTCACCCGTCCCTGACACATCAACAGATGTTCCCTATACCCCGGCTAATCACGCTATTGAAATACCACTACAAAATATCGGTTCAAACCAAATCATCGCGCTTGTTGGTTCCGACTATGATACTTCCGATCCAGGCCAGCCAACACATACCGAATTCATCCGTGGTCTGGTGCAGCATTGGCTTACCCCCATACTCGCTTCTCGACCGGATTATGACGGATATCCTGGTCCTTCTCGGTATTTCATACTCTACACTAACCCATTCCGCGGCACTACACGGCGCAAACCCGATCCGTACCACAGAGGTGGGTACTCTACTTAGTAGGTCAGCAAGCGGATATATGGAACATTCGATAGTAACAGTGTTTTGTCAACACCGGCCCGAATTGACTCAGCACATATCTTCCATCCATTGTCGACTCACTTGGCCCAAGCTTCAAACGGGATTTTACTGACCACTTCTTCCCATCAATCTTTTCTGAACCACTACAGCGACTATGAGAGCCATACTTTATGTTCATACGTTGTATCATACATACTTGCCATTTTTGAAATAAATAATATTATCCCTATTCATGTGTATGTAAAGGTATTTTTGTAACCGATTTTGTAAAATCGTTGGTTATGGAAATACACCCTTTGTTTGTAAGTGTGTATTATTTGTATAGCTACAGGTAAGGTTCGACGAGAAAGAATTGACAACGTCCCATCGTACCCGGCGCACGGTATATTTGATAGAGAGAGCAGGTTACAGGAGTCCAGGTCCCACCGGGGGCCCTGGCCCCTGGGCCCTGCTTGAGCCTGGGACCATTGAACAAATCTATTTTTAGCATGTTTATTGGTTAATATGCGAGTCTCAACTCCCAACAAGTGGCCAGGTCCCGAGTTCCGAGTGCCGAGTCCCGACTGTATTTCCTGAATAAATCGAATAAATACACTTATTTTTAATACCACAAACCTCGAGTGCCGCGGTGCCGCCTACTTCTGACAAATAATCTCATAAATTCATATTATTGCATTGTATGATGTATATACACGACGTTTACACGCCAATATATGTCACAACTAATGCAATACTTTTAAAAACAATTGAACCAGATAGGGCTTCTCACAAGTATTTGCATACCCTGACGTTACCTTATTATTTACGTTGAAGTTTGGTATCCCTACTATTAAGCAAAGCATATAAGGCAATGAAATCAGGCGAGAGCATTCAGAAGTGTATCAACATCGTCGTGCAGAAGAATTCGCTGCTTATCCGAGTGACCCAGGGCCAAAACTTACCTACAAACAAAAACTAACCTTTCTCCCTTTCTATTTTCGTGACTATTCATGTGTATATAAAGGTATTTTTGTAACAAATTTGTAACCGATTTTGTAAAATCGTTGGTTGTGGAAATACACCCTTTGTTTGTAAGTGTGTATTATTTGTATAGCCACAGGTAAGGTTCGACGAGAAAGAATTGACAACGTCCCATCGTACCCGGCGCACGGTATATTTGATCGAACTTGGTTATATCCCAAACGCAAAAGTGAGTGAAGCACCCTAGATAACCTTTATCTATACCCAACGTTAATTTAGTTACGTATGCCCATAGAAGCACGACACCTCGCCAGCCTTGTCAATCAACTATAGGTGTGTGTAGTCTTCGGGACACGTAATTTGAAATTAGCATATTACTATATGCGATCAAGGAGTCACGCGCAACACGTATAAGACGTTTTAAACCGTACACGTTTAAGATATCAGACGACGTAAAAGGGCACGATGCAAAGCCCCGGCCACCCTTCACACCCACCTACACAATCCGCAAAAAAGAAAATGCGACACGCCGAACCCAATGGAGTGGATGAAAATGGTGAGGTAGCGATTGGCGGCAGTGCAGACGTAGAGGTGGATGTTGGCGATGAGCATGAAAACGTAACACAGTCGAATGATCAGACTGAGGTTAGCGATGAGCTTGAAAATATATCACACGAACACGCAGCACACCCGAGTGTTGACACGACAGAGAATGGCGTTGTAGCACAGGATGTCGGTGATAATGGCGAATTTGAGGAAATCATCGAGGTATGTCAGCGAGCTTTGACTGAAGATAAGGGTCTTGGTTCCTTTGTTGTTTATTTGAATATGCCTGTTGCTGTAACAATTTGTGTTGGATACTATGTACTTTCCGGTATCAACCAGGCTCATATAATGTCCATATGTGTGTTTATATGTTCGAATGTGCTTATTGACTTTATTCTACCAACCGCGAGTTATTTTGTTGTATTTGTTACCTCACCCATTGTAATATTCACAGCTCTTTGTTTACTGCACGAAGACCCCGGTGCGTGTGTGAATATGGCCCTCGTTTTCCACGACTTTGCATCTCGCAGCTGTCATACATTATATAATGCTTTTTCATGGTATACATTATTTTGTGCAGGAAGAAGCTGATGAGGAACCGAGTAGCGCAATGTCACGCATCTCAGAACTGCAGGCGAACTTGGTAGCACGAGAAGCACAGGCTGAGGCGGAAATTCATGCCGTTGAAGTGAGATGCTATAATGATAATCTTCTCTTCTACAAGGAAAGGTATGCCTGTCGATCACGCAGTTTTTATGTGAAAGTTTGCGCCTTATATGATTATATCGCTCAGCTGCACTATGTCTTGTTGAGTTCAGAACGTTACATTAAGTAGGTTATATATACATGTGCTTATATGATTAAATCGCTCAGCTGCACTATGTCTTGTTGAGTTCAGAACGTTACATTAAGTAGGTTATATATACATGTGCTTATATGATTAAATCGCTCAGCTGCACTATGTCTTGTTGAGTTCAGAACGTTACATTAAGTAGATTATATATATGTGTGTGTGCGTGTGTGTGTAAGGCGCTGATCGGTTTCCTACTTCCTCCCTAGAGCTGAGTTGGTACCAGGTGTACCAGGCTTCTGGGGACGCGCATTCACCGCGCACATGGAAGCAGAGGGTACGTTATGCGCGGAGGATAAGGAGATAATGAAGTATATTGAGTACCTCCACATCGAGGAGGAAGTTCTGGAACAAGCATGGTTCACCGTAGTCATTGTATGTGGGGCGAGCTCAGTTTTTCGTCATTTGTAACTTGCATGACGTCGCGTGAGGCCTGTTTTCCGGAATTGATTGTTCATGTACAATCAACACTGAAATTTACTTTTGCCGAAAACTACGTTCACAAATTTAAACACAGAAACTCGAGCAAAACCCTTACATCGAGAATCATGAACTGAAGAAACGTTATGCGAGAGACGAAACGGTCACTACTGGCTACAGTGTAAGCACCACAGATGTCCGATGGCTGGATGGTCGGGTAAGTACTTATAGGATTATTGCCGACAATATGGGTGTTCTTGTGTAGGCCGTGCACGTGAAGTATCATACTATCGTTGTATGTCCGCCCGTGGGAGGGGTGTGGGCTTGAAGACGGGATCAGTGTAGTTCATTCTGCAAGTCAGTGCACTTGCAATTCTTGTTCCGAATTACTATTTATATATATATATAAATTCTTTACCCAGGAGGAATACGAATACGAAGATGAGGAGACTGATTATGCACAAGCTGAGCCTCAGGATAAAGGACAGAAGCGGCCGAACTACCGAGCAAGATCCTTCTTCGACTGGTTTGATGTCGACGTTTGTGACAGTGATGGGTGGGGCGTCGATCCCGTTGTGGAGCTTCTTACCGCAGTCTGGAGAAATCCCATACAGGTGTGTCTCGTCAGATGTTTCACATGTGTAGACTATATTGTTTGTGTTTGTGGCGTCCGTGCACATTGCTTAACCTCGGTATTGTGTTTGGGCTGAGATCGTATGAGACTCTTTCTCACGGACCGTTATGTGAATTTCCATTGTTTATCACAATATGTTAGTCTCTACTAATGTACAACCCCGCAATCGCAGCATATCTATGAACCTGCAGACCATGGAACGGAGGAGGCGATTGAAGTCGACCTCGGAGGAGATGACGTCATAGGAATGGATGAAGGACACATGCATGAGGAGAGAGATGAGCATGCGGTAGGTACAAGTGAGGTAGACGTAGAGGCGGACATAAGTGAAGAAGACGTAGCGGTACCCGGAGATGACGAAGACGTGTACGAGAGTGCGATTCCTGACACAGCAGATATAGTGGACGCTGGCGACGGAGAAGGAGGTGGTGAGGGGGAAGGTTTACCCGAATATGAAGAAGAAGCGCACAATGAGGAGAAACAGCCAAACGAAGAAAAAGAACATGACCCTGAGGATGATTACGAGGGCGATGACGATGATGTGGCAATGGACAACTCAGGAGGAGAGGAGGGTGTGGAGCATGGATATGAAGCAGAGGAGCATGTGGAGCCGGACTATGAAGCAGAGGACACCATGGCGGTAGATGATGAGGGTGGTATACCCGAGCACGACGATATAGCGGAGGCTTACGGAGAAGGAGAGGGTGAAATTGATGGCATAGAGGAGGACTATGGGGAGGGTAATGGTGATGTAGAGGACTACGTAGGGGATGCGGTGGAGGGTGATGGTGATGTAGAGGACTATGTAGGGGGTGTGGATGGGGATGCGGTTATTGAGGGATTCGCGGGTGGAGTTGAGGAAGTGATTGTAAACGAGGCTGAGGATGGAGGCGTACTAGACCAGCTTGAGCCGAGTGAGATGCAAGAACCGGAGCTGGGCACACGAGAAGCCCCTGAAGTGAGCGATGATCAACCACAAACACACGCTGAGATAAGTGTTTAGCATATGTAGCAACACCAAAATCTCTGAAGAGTTTACACAATCTTGCCACTGGAACGTAAGCAAGAACTACATCAGCAACATCACTTTCCAGATGCGTATATAGCACCCGCATACACAGGTGATCATCCCTAAACATCGCTCAAGGACAGTATTTTTAGTTCATTTAGTTTTCGAATGCATTAATTGAAAGTAGACGTGATGACGTGATGTGGATGGTGACTTGGTGGTAGGTTGAAAAGTGAGGACTATTTAGTGCAACAGTGCCCGCCATTTCAATCCTCGGTCAGTAGGCTTTGAGGACTGCAAGATCAGAGGCGCCTGTTGCTGGATTTCACAATTCTTTGCCGTTCCCTAGCACACGATTGCCCACAGCCTGGCCGATAATACCTAGAGCCTGTTTCCTAATCACTTGCATCAGACGTTATAGCCAATCTATGTCGTTCTGCGAGTTGGGTGGGATTAAGTTCGAACGTGTGGTCGATTCGGGATGGGTTGATGATGTGTCTGGGCGGCATCGAAGGGTTGTCAAACATCAGGAGTTATTTCTTTCGGGGTGCATGTATATAATCAAGACGAATTTGTCTCTGATCGGTCTGTTTTGTTTGTATGCATGTACACACAGTGCATGTATACGTGTACTCGTACTATATATACAGAGCTGATCTGAATATATATATATGTATGACCAGTACAACCACACATACTCGTGCACATATCCGATTGTATATGTAAACTATGTATGTAACAGTGGTCTACATATATCAATATATGTATATGGCTCCATATGTTTATACAGCACATATTATAAGTACTGTGTGTGGGCTCATACACACTCGCTTATGCATGTAGACTGTACTTGTACCAGTGATCTACACATCGACATGTTGATAACATGGCTCATGTGTTTATTCACATGATTTTCGCGGGCATGTATGTTTATGACATGCCCCTTCTCGCGTGTAGATCGGCTGTCTCCGTATTGCATCTACGTGCTTGTTGAGTTCTGGGGGGGAGGACATAAGCGTAACTTGCCAGTTTTTGTCTTACTATACTCTGGCAATTGATTTGCTATTAATTTTAGGACACTCGTCTGTGCAAATGTGAAGTGTTGTACCGGTGAGACTTTTTTAATCCGGAACATGCGCTTTTACACGATGGAGATACCGCCAGCCTCGTCGCTGAGCATGTTGCCCGTAGACACATATTGCGATTAACTACGAGGTTGTGAACACCTACAGCTGTGCCACTTTGGTTGTGGAGGAAGCTTTGACCCTTTCTCGACCGCTATATAACACATCAACCGAAGTGTTGGATTGCATTCTCCCACCAGAGAAGCATAGGGTCGAATGTTTTTCTGCTTGTGAGTAGAGTTGCATGAGCAGTGTAGCTGCAGCTGCCTATGGAGAAATTACAGTATTATTTCGGTCTGCAGTCCGAGAATGAGATTCAGAAACACACGGTACTATTTAGGTGCGATGTCTGCCAGCACCCACATATTCCAGCTAAGAGTGTCTTTGGATATTGAATAGGTCGTTGCCTACCTACAGTTCCGAGTCAAGCTGTAGTGTGCGTGTGTGATCTGACATTTTAGCCCATAGTAGTGGAGACCTTGAGAATGGGAGTCGACCTAGTTGTGCGTGAGAGACGGCTCGACAGCTTGCTTAAGCGGGATAGAAGACCACAGCTGCTGCGCGCCTATACTCGGTTACACAATGGATATTGCGAGAGAGAAAAGCAAGCAAGGGAGTTCAAGGGTATAGCCTGGCCACGTGTTGTCTTTCGGTGTAGTATTTTGGTTTGGTAAGTATGACTTGTATACGAGTGAAGTTAACTAGAGGAGATCGAAGATGTTTGCTTGTTGGCTTTGCCGGGTCCTTGTGCTCGCGGGAATATGGGCGATGCTTGCTACGGCCCTGTGGGATGTGGGAGGTACCTACTGCGAATGTGTGGATTTCAGGTGAAGTGGTGAGGTTGCAGCAAAAGTGTACACTACACTTTCGCTTCAGTTTTTGAGATGGCTTTGTGCCCCGGAGGTTGGGAAAGGAAGCAAAAATTGTGATAAATATCTAGCCGCTTCAATAACTTTGTATATTCGAATATGGATATCGAGATGATTTGCAAATACCCCGCAAAGTACGGGAGGATCAATAAAAAACCAATTTCTGCGAAATTCGGATTAATACACTAGGCTATTTATTTCTCCTTTCTCCGTTGTCTTTTCGAACTGGGATAAATACACTAAAAAAAAAAATTTCTTTCTACTTAGTTTCAAACCAATACAGCTGCTTTATGAGTTTGGAATAGCAGATAGCACTACGGCTTACTACTATTCAGAAGAAGAAACAGCTTCATTCTTTTAGTTTTGTATACAAGAGAAACAGGCCGTTCCACTGCCTATTGAAGAGTGCGATATTTACGCTGCTATGAGTGGCTGGCCCAGCCTTAACGGTAGACACGAGGGCAGTGTTCAGAGCTTAGAATTCGGGTCTGAAAAAGAGAATCCACTGTATCTTCCAGATAGAATTGAAAAGAAGGAGAAGTGAATACATGTCTTGGTTTCCGCTCAGAGAAGTGAGGCTCCTTTATTTGTCACCACTGAGGAGAAGTACATAGGCGGGATAACGCCATCAAATCCGCTAGTTAAAATGACGTCGTTAGCAGACGCGAACCATTCCATGCCATCTGCGTGAAACAAAATATTTCGATAGCATGAGCGGTATAATATGTTCACAGTTGTTTGATCCGTATGAGTTATACTCCGCATGCATCATATACACTGTGATCGTTTCAGACATTCCGCTCATCTTATTTGCAAGCTGAGTGTGATAGGTCAATGATTCTAATCCCGTTTAGGCAGGCATTTATTTATTCGAGCGTATACAGTTTCTGTAATAAAATTTCGATATTCTTCTCCAGCTCAGGTTTTACTTTATTCACTGCCATCACCATACATTGGTGGGCTGTTTCTCGTAATCCTCAAACGATCTTCTAAAGTCAAGTGAATAAAATAAACACAAAGCACGGCGCATATCCACCGGAACAAGGACATGAACATTTTTTCCATCCCAAGTATACGCCTAAAAATACATTCACCTACTAACCTGCACATACGTGCACACAAATACTCAAAATTAAACACATGAACATATAATAAACAAGCAGATGCATACGTAGATCCCACACACCTTTAATTGACGCGGCCATGTCAATATATATGAGAACTTGGCAAGAAGCTCTCATGCCACTGATGACCCCCGATTCGCCTGGCAATCCTCTCGCACAGTGAATCTGATTGCGGTTCATTGTTTTCAGACCACTCTCCTTGATCAGATCCCAAGCTTTCCTGAACGTACCGTGTATGCACACCGGATACGTTGTTGCTGATAGGACAGGTGTGAGCTCTAAGTCCGACACCTAGCGAATAAAGTACGAGCGCGTGAAGTATGAATGAGAGATTTTGTGTTTATACGGATACAGTAGTGTACTTAATTGCTAAAGTGCTACAGAGTGTTCAGCACTAAGTTGGCTTTGAGACCGAGCTGTCCGTCCTTGAATCCCAATCCACCAAACTAGAGATTGTACGTAACATCCAACGAAATATACTCATTCATATTTTCACTAAAGCAATACACAACAATGACGCATTCGCTCGACCAAAATACTGATGGGGCGGTATGCAGACAAGACACAAACGATATCGTTCCTACAAGTCTACACTCTATCCGTCACCAGGATATCCGTTCACTGGCTTATAGCAGCCGTTGCATGCACTATCAGATGAAAGGTTTTCTGATATCGCATCTGTAGCAGCGCTCTGTGCATCTACTCATACCTAATTCTGCACAATGGCAATTGAGTGATTCAAACCTAGAAGGAGCTTTGTGGTATAATTTCCCTAAGAAGCCTTCCTCAAATCAAAAGGGTTGATACGTGAAAGTATACAGCGAATCCTTTAGTACACCATCTACACAGGTTAACCTTGTAGATGATCAAAACGATACAATTCGACGAGACCTACGAATTCGCATTGTGCGGGTTAGCAGCCATGATTTGGACAAATAGAAACAAATACCGATAAAGCGCATATCACAAAGACTTAATTACTGCAACCTGCTCTACATCGCATCCTATCACCATCGCGGGATCGCAAACGAACTTCCATTCCCCACACATTTGCTATAGTGATCTTAGTTCGCTCCCATAAACATCTCTCCGCCCCTGTCGCAGCAGACCATGAGGCAATGAGATCGAATTTGCGTAGTCACTTAATTCGAACTATATATAATCATAAACACAATCACGCCAAACTAAACCCACACACTTTGCTCGTACATGTGCTATAGAGTGGCCTTGATTCGCTCTGACTAGCATCTCTCCGTCTCTTTCCTCCAGTTTATATCGCCCCTTTGTGTCCTGCTTTGCGACTTGCTGTATGATGTCGAGCGTAAGCCCCTTGAACTTCTTATGTGATGTCAAGTCCTTTATTTTGACAAAACCATCGGCACCGATTGGCACACCTATTCCATACATAATATAATATCAAGTCATGCATGAGTCACTGTCCAGTCTTAGCCAAATAATGTACGAACGGTTCAAACGATACATCACTTAGTGCAAGAGCATCCCAATTCGATATGCATCGAGAAGAATTTATACAAGTGAAGATGTTCAGAAGGCAACTATGTGTCATGCATATATTTCGAGACACGCATAAAAGATTTTGAACTCTGCATGCGAGGTTTCTAAGCACCCGCAGATGTAATTTTGATCATCAACACACGTACTATACAAATTGAACGCCTGTACTCTCATCCATGGAAGATTATTATAAACAAAAATAAAACTTCGATTTAGATATCTAAGTACAGCGTGCAAATATGTGAAAATTAATTCGTATTTGTAATTCAACTCTGCAGTGCGATTGTTTTTTCGTATACGTATACTAATGCATGTATCCGAGTCGGCAAGTCGTTGCTTATACACTTGTGTTTAAGCCCTTGCACGAACCATTAACTTGCGATACACGCACAACCTATCATCATAACCACACGCGGATATATATGAAGTACGAGACTATATACGTATCTAGGTTCATAATGAGATTATCATTGGTAGTCAGCATGGTATCGCATAAAATATACACAAACTCGTAAATGCTTAAAGGGGTACATATACATATACATATAATTATATAT